TGTCTTAGTATCTTTCCTCCTGGGAAATATATTATAAACTTCCTATGGATATATTCTCTTCCCTCCTCCTGTAKTTAAAGCCTTTACCAAAGTGCATGTATGGCACACAGTGGTTGTCTAGGAAGAATGCATTTAATAAAATATATTTGTGTACTTATCTAGGGGTAGTTTATGGTGTTTGGCCATATGTATTGTTTTCTCGGTAACAATGAGGTGCTTGTCTATGCAACGAGTCTATTTTGGTAACAAATAAAAACTTTTCTTCTAATATCCACAGGATTATACCTTGACAATGTACTTTCAGCAAGCCTGGAGAGATAAGAGGCTGTCCTATAATGTAATACCTTTAAACTTGACTTTGGACAACAGAGTGGCAGATCAGCTCTGGGTGCCTGATACCTACTTCCTGAACGATAAGAAGTCATTTGTTCATGGAGTGACTGTCAAAAACCGCATGATCCGCCTGCATCCAGATGGCACAGTGCTTTATGGCCTCAGGTCTGTAGTATCCATTTTAATATTTAACTTTTCCTGAACAAAATAATTATTGATTTTTGTAACAGAAGACTAATGTGCTGTTTTCTTTACTCTGCCTGCAATTTTGCTGATAAACASTTAAACCTCCTATCCAGTAAATATCTGAGAGCTTAGGATAGCATGTTTACAAAGGGACTTAGCGCCAGCTAAGACTAAGTTTTTATTTTCTGAATTATCTTCCAAAATCAGCTGCTGATCCTAAAGCTGCTTTCTTTAAGGAATAGGGATAAACAATATCAAAGTAACAGAGATGCAAGGTTTCTTCAGAATGGAAAAAAAAAAAAATCATGGATGCCGAATGATTGTGTTTGAATGTGGCAGATGCTCTGTTTTGTAAATTGCTCCTGAGCTGCCTGAACTGGGTCATGGTCCTCTGATGACAGGAAGGCTTAGTGTGCCCTCGAACCCTCCAAGGAGCATTCTGACCTGAAAATAAACAAAGTAGTTGTCTTATGCTTAATAATAGGATATTCATACTCTTAAAGGTACCTCCCTGTCAGAAAAGAATTGTGATGCTATGCTATGTGGATAAGGATCATTTTAAATCAGGCAATTTCTACTTTTAAATTTTATTTTGTATTAAAAGGAATATATGACTTCCCAGGGAAAATGAAGAAAATACACACATACTCGTGCGCGTGCACACACACACACACACACACACACATATTTCTGAGAATAATGCAATGCAGAGAATTTCTTTTCATTATAGTTCACATCTACTCGCCTGGCATTTGATTGCATTTGATCAACAATTGATACAGATCTTAGTCTGGACATAGTGCAGTGGTGGGAATAAGTCACTGTTGCTAATAAAATAACATTCATCAAGGATGTATTATAGTGGAAGATATTACAAATTTTAACATTTTCAGTAACCTCTGATCTATTCTATTTTATGGAATGGTGATGATAGTACTAATAATAGTATTATCCATTGATTGAACACTAGAGTTAAATGTTGAGCTAAGTGTTTCCCATGCATTATTATACAGTAGTCTCCCCCTTATCTACAGTTTGAGTTTCTTCCATTTCAACTGTGTGGTCTGAGAATATATAAAAATTCCAGAAATAAACTATATGTTTAAGTTTGCACTATTCTGAGTTACATGATAAGATCTTAGTTGCCATCTGGATCTCTCTCACCTGGGATGTGAATCATCTTTTTGTTCAGTGTTTCCTTGCAGTATATGCTACCCAACTATTAGTCACTTAGTAACTGTCTTGGTAATCATGTCCCATCAAAGTATTGCAGTGCTTGCATTCAAATAACCCTTATTTTTCTTAATATGGTCCTAAATTKCCAGTTCACATATGCCACTTTGTCAGTTCACCTGTGCCAAAGAGAAGTTGTAAAATGCTCCCTTTAAGTGAAAAGGTGAGTGTTTTTGAGTTACAAGGAATGAAAAAGCATCATACACTTAATTTGCTAATATCCACAATAAGGAATGTATCTTTTAAGTGTAAAATTGTGAAGAAGGAAAAAGATTTCCGTGCTAGTTTGCTCTCCCACCTCAAAATGTAAAAGTTATAGCCACAGTAAGTGATAAGTGCTTAGTTAAGATGGAAAAAGCATTAAAATTGTGGGTGGAAGACATGTCAAGAAAATGTGTTCCCATTGACAATAGTATCTTCTGCTAAAAAGAACTGAGCCTAAGAAGACTTTGACACAGGATCCCCAGAAACCATTGACACCAAAACATTTACTGCAAGAAAGGGATGGTGACACCAATTCAGAAATAGGTTTAAACTGAAAAAATATAAAATTTACTGGGAAGGCTGCATCTGCTGATGCAGAAGCTGCTGTCACATTTCTGGCAGAATTGAAGAAGCTGATTAAGGACAAAGGATCGCATCCAAAGTACATCTTCAAATTCAGTGAAACTGAGCTCTTTTGCATAGAACCCACATTCAAAGAAAAAAAAAGGAAATGAGGGCGTGAAGTATGAAAGGGCAGGTTGTCAACTCTGGTACTGTGAGGCAATCGGGCATGTGAGAAAGTCAGGCATAGGATGCAGAGTAGAGAATATACATGCACTTGAAACAAAAATGAGTTTTCTGCCCATGTTCTGGCAACATAATCAGAGAGAGTGGGCAACAGCCATCCTGTTTATGAAAAAGTTCTTCTWGTGCTTCATCTCAGAAGTGAGAAAATACTTGGAAGAGGGAAAGTTGGAATTTGAAGTCCTATTAATAGTAGACAGTGTCCCCGGCCATCTTGAATCTGCTTACTATGTAAATCAAAATGCCCACATTCTATGTTTACCTCCAAATACAATCTCATTGCTTTAGATCCTTGGCCAGAGCATTGTTCAGTTTGTCRAGGCCCCATATATCCACCTGTCATTTGATTGCTTTAGATCAGCAGATGATACAGACCTTAATCTGGATATAATACAGCAATGGTAATAATTCACTATTGCTGATGAAMTAATACCCATCAAAAATTCCAAGGATGAGTTGAAACAAGACATTATCAATATCCTTGGGAGTAACTTAAAGAGTGAGGTAATAAATTATGGTAAAGTCTTCCCAGGGAATGATGGAAAAGTTAAGAAAATCATTTCCAGGACAAGGCAAGTAGGTGGAGAAGGATTTGCCAACACACTTGGTGAAAAAGTGGAACAACATATGGAAGGCCATCAAGAAGTGTTAACAGATGAGGAATTTTAAGAACTCAATGAGTCTCCCATAGAGACAGAATAAGATGAAGAAGAAAAACCTGAAGCAGAACCAGCAGTGTGGGCATTCCTAAAATTTGCTGAAGGATTTCTAATTATGCAGACATTAAGGGACAAGACTATGGAATGCGATCCTCAGATGGAACACAGCATTAAAGTTACCCATGTGATCACTGAAGGATTACAACCTCCGCAGCAGCAATGCATTGATGAGTTCAAAAGGAAGACCAGTAACTTCTGGTTATGATGTTCTTCCAAAATTTTTCTGCARTCAGCTACCAAARATCACTAACCACTGACATTACCTCMTCCTGACATCCACCCATCAATATTGTCATAGCTCTGTGATCCCAGATCACCTGCAGCAGATGATCCTCCTCCTGACACAGCATCAGAATGTCCATGGTCACCTAATGCTGMATCACAGTGCCCTTGCCGGTCACTTCTCTGCATCTCCTCTGGCTGGCTTTGCATCACCTCACATCATCACATAAGAAGGTGAGTGCAATAAGAAAATTTAAGAGAGAGCACATTCCATTCGCCTAAACTCAAGTACTKCRTGGTTATAATTGTTCTATTTTATTATCAGGCACTGTTATTAATCTCTTACTATGCTTTGCTTTRTAAATAAAACTGTACCATGGGTGTTTATGCATAGGAAAAAGCATAGTATACATAGGGTTTGATACCCYCCTCCATGGTGTTAGGCATCCACTGGAGATCTTGGAAAACATCCCTCCCAAGGATAAGGGGGAGCTCCTGTATTAATCCTTATAATAGCCCCACATATTAGGAACTGTTATGAGTTTACATTCAAATGAACAAACAGAAGATGATGAACCTTGCCCAAGAAGACACACACAAAAAATAAAAATCACTGGAGATGGAATTTGAACTCTGTTCCAGTTTCAAAATCAGAGCCCAGTGCTACACAGGGATACCTCTACTTCAGTATTTTTCTTACCTGTTTTATCTCATTTTTATTTTCTGCTTGACTCATGTGTGATCATAGACCCTGAGATTCAGATTCTGTTTATCATGGTTGTAGAGAGAGGCATTTAGCTGTCAAGGGAGGGAGAAAAAAAAAAAAAAAACAAAGGAAGGACATAGAGGGAGCCCTGGAGGCAAAATAATGGATTAGACACCCACACTGCTCACGTACATGCTTCTTTAGGAAGGAAGAAAAACAGAGAGAAAATACACTGAACATTGTCTGAAAAAATTCCACCACAGTGGTGACTTTAAAAATCACTAATGGAAATAATTKTGTTCAGCAGATACATTTTGCTAAACATATATCTTGAAGTCAACCACGTAACACAGGCAATCACAAAGACCTTAATGAATGAGTGGCCGTGTGGACCATGGAAAACATGGAAAGGTTGTAGCTCCCACTTCTTAAAAGTTAAGCATAGAGAGAAGTAGGGATCTGGAAGAAGGCAGAGGAGAGACAGAGACAATAAGCTGGCCATTGGTCAGGGAACAGTGGGAGGACTGCTAATGGCAAGCAGTGTCCGTGCAGTGGACTCGGTGATGGACATACTTTTCCCATCAAATCATCTCATCTTCAAAGAATTCATGCAGAAATCATCCCGAGCTCTTACTCTTTCCCTACAATACTCACCTATAGGATAGAGATCTGTTGTATTTTCTTTTTAAATCCAGTACTGATACTGGCTCTGKGCGCACATAACCTGTATTCCGAGCARCTTGGGAGCCTGAGGCAGGAGGATCATGAGTTCAAAGCCAGCCTCAGCAACATAGTGAGGCACTAAGCAACTCAGTAGGAAACTGWCTCTAAATAAAATRTTTTAAAAGGACTGTGGGAGGGACTGGGGTTGTGGGTCAGCTGTAGAGCGCTCACCTACTGCGACCAAGTCCCTGGGTTCCATCCTTAGCACCATATAAAAATAAATAAATTTAAAAAACAAAGGTATTATATCCAACTACAACAAAGAATAAATAAATAATTTTTTTTTTTTAAAAAGAGAGCAGCAGGGGATGTAGCTCAGTGGTTAAGTGCCCCTGGACTCAACCACCAATATCAATAATAATAATAATAACAATATGAATAACAAATCCAGTACTGACAAAGCACCTACATGTAAATAGCAACTCAGTGAATATTGGGAATGAATTTGTGAATGCATGCATATGTAGTTGAGTGTACAGGAAAATCAGCAATCAGAATATCTTCGGAATTGAGAGAGACAAGGAATACCAGTACAGATGATGAATTGACTTTATGCATTGTCACTAGTCATACCAAAAAAAAAAAAG